GTGAAGGCACACAGGTGGAAGAGAGAAAATTCAGTAAAGAAAAAGCTAGAGTAACAAACTTTCACGTTTCCCCAATAACCTAGAAGTCCCCGGCAACGGCGCCAAAAACTTGACACGCTACGACACAACACCAAACTGCGACCAAGTGTAATCGCAATCCAGGAATGCAGTAAATTGGCAAGCTCTAATTATCAACCAGGGGTCTAGATCTACTGCCTGCTCCGTGAATATCTATTATCTAGCCAACTAAGTTGATTGATTGTTGCTTTAACTAAAAGCAGTAAGAAAGCAGGAAATGATTCGGTTTTCTAAAGCAACGGAAGAGTCACTGGGAATGAGTCCCCCTAGCTCCTTAGTTAGGTCTCAGTTGTAATTAACCTGGGTTGATTTACTGTTGATTAAATTGGGGAAGATCCGACAGTAGCTTGGAATCTCTTAAGCTGACCAAGCCCTCTCAGTCTAACTACCCGGCAGACGACTAGTCTTCACCGGGATAGAAAGCAGAAACAATAAGCACAGAACTCCACTACTGGAATTGGATTCAAGTACAAAGCAGTAGACTGACTAACTTTCGTATAGCCAATCTACTACTACCGAATGAAGAAGCTCTAACAACCTAATCAGATTCTATCTATCTCAGGCTGCAGCAGAAATCAAGAAAAGCTGATCAGACTTCAATCAATTCAATGAATCATGCATCATTCGATTAAAACCAAACAGTATAGCAATCCCAAGTCATTACAATCATGATCCCTAACACATGGAACTAGGGATCTTCATACCCAAGTGAGAGAGGGTTCTACTCCATAGAAAGAGAGAGGAAAACAAAATACAAAGCAGTCATTTGATGATGATTTTCACTCCTATGATGATCTCCAAGCTCGATTTGATGAAACCCAGCTCCAAGATCGCTTCTAGGGTGTGTTCTTCGCACTTTCTCTCTCTAGGGCTCTGTTTTTGCTCTGAAAAGTCGATCCCCTCACTTGTGGCTCGAAATGGGGTTAAAACCCAGAATTCCCGACTCAAACGGGCAGGCCACACGGCCGTGTGGCTTACCCAGATGGTCGTGTGAGTGTCAAAACGCGGTGTTTTGATTAAGTGGTCTTCAGGCTACCTACACGGCCAGGGACACACGGCTATGGGGAATCTCCAGTACGCCCGTGTGAAGCCTCGGTAAATCCCACACGCCCACATGGGTTTCTTAGACGACCGTGTGGGTTTTAGGAGTGTCCGTGTGGCTTCCTCAGCGTCTCGCCACACGTCCGATCTTCGTCCAATCGACCCCGAACTCGCTCCCAAACCTTCATTCACGTACTAGGACCTGAAATATCACAAACAAGAACAACCTAGTGTGAAATCGGCCTAAAACACGAGAATCAACATCTCAAACAGCTCAAGAATAGGGGTAAAAACATGTGCAATTAACGGTCTATCAGTAGGAGTATGAATGGAGAAAACTCTCAGCAAGTTGGTGGTCAATGCCCACCTCTAAACTACGTTGCACTTAGGAAGATTGGTGTCAACTATCAAGGACTTTGAGGGATCCGCAGACCCTGAGGTGGTCGATGCCTGACTGTTGAAGCTCACTCGCACCTTGGACGAGTAGCGCTGAAGACATGATCTCCATGGTCGTCCACGTGATCTAGGGAACTGCTAGAGATTGGTGGCACCTCCAACCAGAGAGTGAAGTAGTACCTATAGAGATCAACTGGAATGAGTTCGTGACGATGTTTCACGATGAGCACATTCCTTAGATAGATTTTCAGATGTATTTCCTCCTAGAAGAGAGATTGAGTTCGACATTGAGATCATATCGGGCACTGCTCCAATCTTAATGCCACCATGCCGAATGGCACTAGTAGAACTCATGGAATTAAAGGAGAAATTGCAAGAACTGCTAGAAAATGGATTCATTCGCTCCAGAATATCCTCATAGGGAGCCCCGGTGCTCTTCGTAAAGAAGTAAGATGGGACAATGTGGATGTGCATCGACTATAGCAGGTTAAACAAGGCAACAACCAAGAATCGTTATCCACTGCCCAGGACAGATGACTTGTTTAATCAACTACAAGGTGCCTTTGTGTTCTCAAATATTGACTTGAGGTTGGGATATCCTCAGTTGCAGATGGCAGAATCCTCTATTCCGAAGATAGCTTTTTGTGCTCGATATGGACAATATGAGTTCTTGGTGTTGCCTTTTGGGTTGACCAATGCACCAGCAGCATTCATGGCACTGATGAATAATGTAGTCCATGAGTATTTAGACAAGTTTTTCATCATTTTCATTGATGACATCCTCATTTACTCAAGAGCCACGATGAGCATAAGGAGCACTTGAGAATCACATTGCAAAAGTTGAGGGATGAGAATTTGTATGCAAAGTTCTCCAAGTATGAATTTTGGCTAAAGGAAGTGTTGTTTATGGGCCATGTGGTTTCAGGGAAGGGAATGAAAGTAGATCCTAAGAAGGTAGAGGTTGTGGTGAATTCAAAGTTCTCCAAAGAACGTCCCGGAGTTAAAGAGATTTCTAGGCATGGCTAGGGTACTATAGAAGGTTTGTAGAGGGCTTCTCGCGCATCGACAGACCTTTGACCCAGCTACTCCGCAAGGAAGTGGCATACACCTGGAATGATGAGTGTCAAGAAGCATTCGAGGAGCTTAAAAGGAAACTTACTATTGCACTGATACTTGCATTACCATCAAGAAAATGAGAGTATGCCATCTATAATTATGCTTCATACAGGGGGTTGGGATGTGTCCTCATTCAAAATAAGAAGGTGATTGCTTATGCCCGAAGGAAATTATGACTACATGAGGTGAACTATCCAACCCATGACATCGAGCTAGCCATAGTGGTATTTGCATTAAAGTTGTGGAGACACTATCTATATGGTGCGACTTTTAAAATCTTTACGGATCACAAGAGTTTGAAACACCTCAGGGATAAGAAGGAACTGAACTTGAGAAAAGGAAGATGGATGCAATTGTTGGGTGATTATGATTGTGAAGCTATAACTGGAAGATGCTACAACTATGATGGGGAATTTGAGTATTGGACCACTATTGCATGACCGAATCAAGGAGAATCAAAAGGACGATATAGTTCCGGAAAGTACATCCACAAGGTGCTGGATGGGAAGAATACTAAGTTCAAAGTGATTGATGAGATTCTACGCTACCAGGTTAGAGCTTGTATACCCAATGTGGAAAAAATAAGGTACGAGATTTTGAATGAAGCTCATTGTGCACCTTATGCCATGCACCTAGTATCAACCAAGATGTATCGGACATTGCAAGAACATTTATGGTGGCCCAATATGAAGAAAGAGGTAGCTGAGTATGTACATAAAGTGGAACACACATCACTTTGTATTTTGTATACAGTTTGCCAAAGCTAGAGTGGGAAAATGGTGGAGTTTGAGTGATTGTAGACCGCCTCATCAAATCCGACCACTTCATTCCCATCAAGTTCAAGCCAGGGGTGGATGCATTGGATGACTTGTACATCCAAAAGGTGGTACGACTATATAAAGTCGCTCTAACCATTGTGTCAGATCGAGACCCTATCTTCACCGGCCAGTTCTGGAAGAGCCTTCACAAGGTCTTGGGAACCAAGCTTCACTTCTCTACTGCCTATCACCCTCAGACTATTGGGTAGAGAAAAAGAACGATCCATACATTGGAGGACTTATTGAGAGCTTGCACGTTGCAAACGGAGGAGTCATGGGATAAGTACCTCCCCCTTCTAGAGTTTGCTTATAACAATCATTACCACAGTTCTCTAAAGATGACACCATATGAGGCCTTGTATGAAAGGAAGAATAAATGTCCTTTGTACTAGGACAAAGAAGGATTGGGTAGATAAAACGCCTAGAAGTGTTAAAGTGATGAAATCACTAACCATCAATTCACTTACACTATGTTTGGGAAGGGGTGTAAATGGAAGGGGGTGCAAGTTTGGGGGGTAAACACAAGTTCCAAGGTGTTTACCCCCGTTTGGTTATTTTGTAATAGTAGGGGGGTGCAAAACGTGAGCGTAAATCCACTGTTTCGGCTTACCCCCCAAATTGGGGTGCAAGGGAAGGAAGGAAGGGAGGGGGAAGGGGGAGGAGGGGAATTATGAATTTTTAATTAGATTATAATTACATAATAATTAATATTATTAATTTTTTCTTATATCTATATTAGTGTAGAAGTTGTTTGGGGTTGACCGTTTGACTCAGAGAGCAAGTTTGTCAATGTTCGCCTCGTCAATCGATATCTCTTAGTTGACCCGAATTTGCATTGAAAATTAGAGATAAGAAGCGTTTGTTGAAAAGATAGAGAGGAACAGTTTAGTTAACTCGATTTACTTTAATAAATAGTTAAAACTTACAGATTCGAACGTGTTTGACTAAGTTTGACCATATTCAATTTAAAGTTAGGCACGAGAACCCCCTTAGGATGACCAGTTACGAGTTGGATTTCGAGTTTCGAGGTTGCTCGACCAATGATTATTATTGTTGTTATAAATAATTATATTTGAGCATTATTATATAATAATTATTTTTATTTATTATTTATTATTATTATATATTGAATTTTCATGTTATTATTTTGTGATAATATTTTATAAATTGATAAATCTATTTTATAATAATATAATTACTTACTTTTTACTCTATTTGCACCCCCCTACTTTTTTCATCCAAACAACAATTTACCCCTCCACTTACACCCTCCACCAAGTTGCACCCCCAACAATTTACCCCTCAACTTGCACCCCCTCGAACTTGCACCCTCCTTGTTGCCAAACATAGTGTTATTCAACCGGACCACCTTGCTAAACGCCTCAAGTGGGTTGACAACCTTGCAGCAAAGCAGGCGGGAGGCTAGGGGTGGGCAAACGGTTCAGTAAACCCGAACCGAAACCGAATTAAACCGAATCGAAACCGAAATAATGCTATTCGGTTCGGAATTCGGAATGAAAATATAGATATTCCAGAAATCAGGGTTCTTCCAACCGAACCGAAATTCCGAAATTCCGACCGAAAAACCGAAATACTACAATTGCAACCTCCAAATGGTGGATTTTTATATTTGTAGTTGTTTTTATACTTAAATATTTGAAATGTTTTATGAATTATGTGTTGAAAAGTTTGATTTTATCATTGATTATGCATATAATTGCATATTTATTGTTTATATTATGAGTGAAAAATAATTTAAAAGTGAGAATATACAAGTAGCCTCACAAATTCGGTTTTGTGTTAAAAACCAAACCGAACCAAATTATAATTCGGTTTAAACCGACCGAACCAAATTATAAGTCGGTTCAAATTCGGTTGAGGTTTGGGAGAATTCGGGGACCCGGTATTCATAATTTCGGTTCGGTCGAAACCGAACCGACCGAATGTCCACCCCTATGGGAGGCAGCGAAGAGCGTGTTTTCTGCGTAAACCCCACGCGCCTTTTAGAGAAATCGCCCATAAACTAGTTCTAGAAGTCTCCTCTTATCGTCTCATCAAAATTAAAACTCCTCTCTCCCAGTCTGAGAGCTAAACTAGGGTTTCTCTATCTTCTCGACTCTCCTCCTCATTTCTCCCACCAAACTCCTAGGTAACGTAACAACTTCTTCTTGTTAATTCAACTCCTATTTTGCATTTTGCTGATTTCGGATGAGAGGTCCTGATGGGATCGCTATTTTGAGATTCAGGAAGGTATACTAATGGCGGCTTCTCAGCTCACTGCATCTTCAGTCTCGGTGTCGGCCAGGAACCTGGTTTCATTTGAAGGACTAAAACCCTCCGCCGTGAAGTTTGCATCTTTCGGGGTATTGAAGCCCGGTGGCCTGTCCCAACGCTCATTCCAGGGATTGGTCGTCCAAGCAGCCACCGTCGTTGCCCCTAAGGTAGCTAGCTTGCCTAATGTTTGAATTATTATTTGTGGCTATATTATGGATTGGTGTGACCAATTATACTGATTCCCGTCTTATTTCCTGTCATTGTTGTGAATGTCAATGTGGTAAGCGGACCACTTTTTGGGGTTGAATTCTGGTTTCATCACTCTGCTTTTGGCTATGGTTTGATTAGGGAATCAGGTAGTTCCTTTTTCCTTTATTGGCCAAGTGTCGTAATGTTTGATTCCTTGATTTTCCAGTACACTTCGATTAAGCCACTGGGTGATAGAGTGCTGGTGAAGATAAAGACTGTGGAGGAGAAAACTGGTGGTGGTATTTTGCTCCCATCTTCGGCACAGTCAAAGCCTCAAGGAGGCGAGGTTGTTGCTGTTGGAGAGGGCAAGTCAATTGGTAGCAAAACCTTGGACATTACTGTTAAGGTATAAGCTTTTTCCTCTTTTCCCCCGGATTTGAGAATCTTGTAATTAGCCGGTTCTAGGCTGTGTTGGACAAGTTTAAAGTGTAACGAACTTGGTTATTGCCTTGTTTAGACTGGTGCTAAGGTTGTTTATTCCAAGTATGCTGGCACTGAGGTTGAATTCAATGGTGAAAGCCATCTGATTCTGAAGGAAGATGACATTGTCGGTATTCTTGAGACAGAAGACATTAAGGACCTCAAGCCCCTCAATGACAGAGTTTTCATTAAGGTGTGATTCTTCGCATTTGTGCTTGATTAACCCTCGCACTGTGGTTGTATTGTTTCCATATTTATATTGACTGTATGTTCCAAAAGCAATGATAATTCGAGATACAAACCCTTTCTGTACTGACATCTTCAAGAATGAAGGCGCAGTTTGTAATTTAATCTCATGTCCTGTTGCAGGTTGCTGAGGCCGAGGAGAAGACTGCTGGAGGTTTGTTGCTCACAGAGGCATCCAAGGAGAAGCCATCCATTGGCTCGGTTAGTAGTAGAAATACTTTTGTCTGCTTATCATTTGATTGACAATGTTTTTGGCTTAAGATCCCGACTTGCATTTGATTAAACAGGTGATAGCAGTTGGACCTGGACCTGTAGACGAGGAAGGTAACACGAAGCCTCTGTCAATCTCCCCTGGAAACACGGTGTTGTACTCCAAGTATGCAGGGAACGACTTCAAGGGCAGTGATGGTTCCAACTACATTGCCCTTAGGGCTTCAGATGTGATGGCTGTCCTGTCGTAGTTTGGGTTGTTTCTTTATCCGGAATAGATAGATTGATGGATGTACCTCCTGAATTTTGTGGGTTGAGGAATGGCATACACCGTTTTGTAGCCTTAAAGCTGTAACCGGATTGTTCTGTTACGATAAGAAATGCTAAGCTATGAATAATAAAGCCTTCCTCGGAGTTCCCTCGTTTTGTGACAAGATCATATGTTTGCTGCCGGCTTATAACTAAACCCACCATACCATTTCTAAAGACTGGTACTTGAATGAAACCCTAACAATAGAACAAGTGAAGTACGAAGCAAGCCAATGAAACGATAATACTGCCACTTCTGGATTTATGAGAAGTAAAATGCATCTAACATCATCTTCTTCTGTGGGGGGCAAGCCAGTACGGTGTTGGTACTTCCATTCTCGATTTCCTACAAGTTCAATCCCTAAACTCTTTTTGGATTCTGAAAATGGTTCAATATAATAGTGAATTAAGGCATATGATATGATGTCTCATCAATCCAACCAATAAAACTTACAAAATCCGTCCCATAATGCCAAATGTTGGTGCCATCTGTATGTCAATAGAAGATGATCTCTCTTGAAGTGCCACATTAACAGGAGATTTCCACGCCTACATGTGGATGGACAATCACTCTCCTAGAAAATATAGCACCAATACTCAAACATGAAATTCAATGATAACAACTGGTTGAAGTCCAGATGAGACCACTGAGCACAGTACGGTGTGCAAAAGAGCTGTACGGTGAATCAATTGGTCTGGGTCTGGGCCCTGCCCCTGAGTAAAAATTTGGTATTGGGTTAAAATTAGTAGTTAATATATATAAAGTTTAATTGAAATTACTGTCTCTACACTATACCCCAAATTTAATTTTAATGTAAAATCATTGAACAATTATATTTTGATATCTAAATTTTATGAGATTTTTGTACCGACAAATTTTTACATTTACATATTGGTCCAATGTTTAGATTTCACTTGAATCCATGAATCCAATCCACCAATCATTGTGAACCAATCCATGAATCCAATTCACCATAACATGAAAGTATAAATTTGGTTTGTACTATACAAGATGTTGTATCACTCAACTGTAGGAGAAGATTCGTCCATATTATATTTGCTCATTACGTGAAACATTAAAAAAATGATAAAAGAAAGACGAATTTTTCAGCTCAATGTCGAGTCCAATTTAAAACAAATATATATGGTGATTACTTATTAGAAGGTCGTCATTTTCCACTGTGGGATTTGAAGGCGTGAAATTTTAAGCGAGTTCCAGTTTGTATTCATTTTGCTTCCCTCTGGAGTTTTTCTTTTTCACCCGGGCTAGAATTTTCAACAATTATACATGAAATTTTTAACAATTATACATATCAAATAAATAGTTTCCTATTTTCTATAAAAAAGTAAATAATTATCATCTTGAAAACATCACAATAAAAGGAATTAGGCCTCAACTATGCAAATTACAGTTGGGTACCTAAATTTAATAGATCTTTAAATTTATAACCTATATTTATTTTTTGGCATATAAGTCCTCAAAATATTGATGGAACATACATTTTAGTACCTAAATTTTTTGTGTATTATATTTTAGTACCTGAACTTTTGAAGTTCTACAAATAGGTCTAATTTTTGTATGTGTAATTAAAACACTCTCAAATAAATGGGTATCCATACCCAACTCATACACATTTAGATTATGAAAGTAAATATCCATCCCTACCCAAACCCATCTACAAACTTTCCAAACCCATATATACGCCACTCATACCCTACCCATAATCAATGGGTCTACTTGGGTTTAGGTAAATATCATTTAAATTGGATGTTGACCGCCATATATCTCTTCTCAGTCAATATCATATTATCAAGTCAATATTACTAACAAAACTACTAACAAAAAATTAATTTTAGACTAATAATACTAACAAAATACCATAACAGGCCACATAGTACATGCCCATAGGCAATCTCTGCCAACGACAAGGCGCGACATCGCCACCTAGTGTTACGTGTACTTATTTGTCATGTTTTATCTTTGGAGGATCATTTTGTTTTTTGTCCTTTTATTTCTTTCCTTGATCCGCGTTGCACTTGTAGAAGTCAGATCAAGGTATTTATTCTGTTGGACATCGTGGCTGGAAACCCTAACTTCCATACACCATATTAGATATCATCATGAGAGTGAAAGCTCTCCGTGGAGTAGTCCCGTTCACATCGAACGAGGAAACCACGTAAATCTCGCTTCATTTTCGTTTTGCTTTTGGTTTTCTTCATGGTATAAGAGTTGTGAAGACGATTCCACAGTTTCTCTCATCATGTTAGGCGACGCCTCGAAGGACCCCGGCAGCAGCGGCGATGTCAAGCCGTCTCCTCTGCCATCTTCCCTTCTTCTTCATCAATCCGACAGTCCTAGCCATCTTAATGTTGGCGATCTTCTTACTGGGCTCAATTACAATGAATGGTTGGGCGATATTACTGACTCCTTGATTGCCAAGAACAAGCTTGGGTTCGTCGATGGGTCTTTTGCGATCCTGACATATCTGGTGGAACATGATGCTTGGAAACAATGCGATGCGATGGTCAATGGCTGGTTGAAGATGGTCATGAGCAAGGACGTTCGTAGCAGCGTTCACTTCGCCAAGAAATCACGTGAAATATGGCTCGATCTTGAATCCCATTTCGGCCACTCTAGTGCGGCGTGTCTTTACGAACTCCGGGGTCTCATCGCATCTCTTCAGCAAGAGAAGTCCTCTATTGCCGCATTTCACACGAAGCTCTGGGGTTATTGGGATGAAATCCCTTCGTTGGATCCTTTCCTCGATTTCACGTGCAACTTGTCACTTGTCAAGTTCAAAAGCGGCAGCGTGAAGCCCTAGAGGTCGAGAGATTATTCGAATTTCTTATGGGTCTTGATGCCTCCTTCTCAACGATCAAATCGCAGATCCTCGCCATGAAGTCCCTCCCTAGAGTTGCTGAAGCCAACCACATGGTTGTTAATGATGAGCAACAACGCCATGTCACAGGTCAGCGGCGTCCATAGTCAGAAGTAGCTGTTTTTCAGGCACGAGGAGAGCGACGTCCTGGTCCTGGCCACGTCTCTTCGTCTGGTCAATTCCTTTCACCAAGTTAAGGCGATCGCGACACTGATGGTCGCCCTTATTTCTCTCACTGCCAGCGGTCTGGCCATTTCAAAGAAACATGCTTCAAACAGGCTTGTCTGCGACACAGTTCGCCAAATTGAAGTCGTTGCTGGGTGCTATTCCTCAGGCTGGCGCTACGTCTCCACTCGATCCAGTTTCTAACATGGCAGGTACTGTTTCTCCTTCATGGACACATGGATTATTGATAGTGGATGCAATGAACACATAGTTAATGATCTCTCTTTGTTGACCAAGGAACATGATCGTTCCCCGGCTCTCCAGGTTTCGATTCCCAATGGTATGGGGATACAAGGTTTGGAGTATAGGGTCAGCCCGTTCATCTAATGATCTTGTGCTTTGACGGGTCTTGCACGTACTTGATTTTCAGTGAAATCTTCTCTCGGTGAGTAGGGTGACAGCTGATCTACCTGTCGCCTCAATCTTTCTCCGCAACTTTTGTGTTATTCAGGACTTACCTTCTAGGAAGCTGATTGGGATGGGGAAACATCGTGATGGTCTTTATTATCTACATATGTTTGATGATACACACATGATGGTGAATGCAGTTTGACAATGGGTTAACAACTCGGTCTTGTGGCATGTGCGTCTTGGGCATCCTTCGGCAGAAAAATTCACTCATTTGCAGCAGTTTATTTCCGGTCGTGTTCTTCAGCTGCCCGAACCTTGTCATTCTTGTCTTCATGCGAAACATACTCGGACCCCTTTTGTTCTAGAACTATTCGGACAAAATCTTGTTTTGAGTTGATTCACATTGATGTATGGTGTAGTTAAAGAGTGGCATCCTTCTGCGAAGCCCTTTTTTCCTGACTGTTGTGGATGATTTCAGTCGTGCTGTTTGGGTGTTTCTGTTGAAATTCAAGTCCAATGTTGCTCGACACTTAATCTTTTTTTGTAACATGTTAGAAACCCGCTTATATGGGTTTCTACGAATTGATGTAATAGGATAGATAGAAAGGGATTTAGGGGGTGAGGATAAAAATTAGGGATTTAGGAGAAGAATTGGGGATGTGAGGAAGAACAGCATAGGCCTTTGAGGGAGAGGGATAAACGAGATTGAGAGAGAATAGAATAGGGTTTGGGGGATAAGTCTTTGATTAATCTTTATTTTTCCGTAAATGAATGACCAAATACATATTTATAGGAAATACTAGAATAAACCTAATAATAAACCTAAACTTAACCCCCAAGTCATTGATATTTATAATAATTATCCTCCCATAAATAATAAGAGAATCCCACATAAGGTGGATTTCTAACAATCCACCCCCCTTTTAAGCGACCTTGTCCTCAAGGTTGCAATCGACTTTCCTCTTCTTGAACTTTCGCTTCCTTCATTTCCAACTGTGCTCCAGCTCGCGAATAACTTCTTCTTCGACAACCCTAACTTCCTTAAACTCATGTCCAACCACGTGGTGCATGTCACATCCTCTATAGCCAAACAATTCTTCCTCCACTCTTTCGAAGTTCATGTCACGAAATAAGAGTTAGTGGACCGTTCTTCCTTATGCCCATTCTCCTTGAAATCTTTTGCTAGGCGCTTGGTAGTGAGGAAGAACTCTTTTGGGCACCAAGCCCCTCCAAGTAGGCTTGGATTAAGCTTCCTTGAAAGCCCATATATCCATTTTCCTTCATATTTTGTGCCTGCAAAATAAATCCAACAAGATAGTCCATTGCTGGCCCAACTTCAGTTCGTTGCTCAACCCACATCCCTCCAAAATTCTGCTCAAGACTTGACTCTGATTTGGCTTGATATTGCGGCCCACCTAGCTGCTCCATTAGCCTTGTTTTGAGCCCAGCAATTTTCTTCTCACATTGCAGCCTAGGACCCAGATTAATGGGCTCGTCTTTATAACACAACCAACCCTCTGAATCTACGACCCAATCTTCTCGGCCCAACAAACTGGCCTGCCTCTGGGCCATGCAGCATAGGATTGCAGGAGAAGGGTCGCTGCAGCCGCCTTTCTTCGTTCGTCCCAGCTTCGAGGATTCCTTCGTCGGCGAGCAACTCCTCCGACGAAACGGCGGCCAGTCCGCTTTCGACCTCATTTCCGACGTTACCTCTTTGCTACCCTACGCTATGAGGAGAGCCGCCGGCGTCTCAGCCGCCGATGACTCATTCTTTGTCTCCGCGTCGAACTATGCCTCAGCTAGCCCCGTCATCTTCTTCCTTGTGTCCTCTTCCGCTGTTGCCCGACGACCCAGAGGTTCGCTCGTCTTCGGCATCGCCTTGGCCTCCGCGACAACAATGGACACAACTGGAGCCGTCGTCATTTGCATGACCCGAGGCGTAGCGCCGATCTCCTGCTCCGTCTCTCGTTCCCCATCTCCACCACTGTCAAGATGCCCCTGTCCCTTTTAAAATCCTTCCTAGTCACCGTGCTATCCGACAACTGATGACTTGATATATACACTGGCCGTGTATGGGACCCCTTGTGGCCATGTGGAAAGTCAAGGGAGCTCACACGGCCAGACTGGAAATCCACACGGCCGTGTGCCTCTGGCTGTTCAGCGTGCCTGAAGTCCACTAATCAAAACGTGGCGTTTCCATTCTCACACGGGGAAACTGGGAATCCACACGGTCGTGTGGTCGGGAAATTCTGGGTTTTAACCCAATTTCGAGCCAAAGGAGAGGAAATCGAGTTTTTGAGCAAAAAACAGAGCCCTAGAGAGAGAAAGTGCAAAGAACACATCCTAGAAGTGATTTTGGAGCTGGGTTTCATCAATCGAGCTTGGAGATCATCATAGGAGTGAAGATCATCATCCCAGAGCAGATTTTCCTCATCTTTATGAGTATGACTACTCTGTTTTCTGTTTTCCTCTCTCTCTCTCTCTCTCTCTCTCTCTCTCTATGGAGTAGAACCTCCTTCTGTGTCTCCCGTTTTGCAGGACTTTGCACCCCCTCATCCTCCACCGCCCCGGCTTTCTCAGTTTCCAAAAGAGCGGATTAAGGAGGAGTGGCAGCTGAAGCGGCAAGTAGCTGAGCCAGCTCAAAAGAAAGCCGGGGACCACTATGAGCTTGTCCTGGCTCCTGAGCCACGACCACCCTGGCCATCCGAGTATTCACTTGCTTGCATCCAGCCGAATGGCCAGTACGAGTTGACAACTGACGGTGGTCACCTCCGTCGCGTGCATGGCCACCATCTGAAGTTGTACATCAAGAGAGATGTGGATCCGCTCTTGGAGGCACCTGTTCCTACACCGCTATGAGAATCCACCCTCTGCGTCCAGCTAAAGACGTAAAAGAAGCGTTTGTGGGGAGGCAACCCTACCACGATTTGTTTTTCTTTTGTTTGTTTTCGGTTTTCCGACTTGGAACTATGGTTTCTATCACCCAGTATGTTTTGATGACTCTAGCTCTGTGGACTGGTCCACCTTCCAGTCCGGCCCTTCTGACTGGTCCCATTTCCAGTCCCCCGGAAGTCTCTCTTCTCCATTGAGGGCAATGTCGTACTTAAGTGTGTGTGTGTGTGTGGGGGGGGGGGGGGGTTATCTTTGACTGCATAGATGAGTTTGTGTGCTTGGAGCCTAGTCCACTGTCCAATTTGATGAATCGAGGGCTCGAAGTGCTGTTCCCTGCAATATCCAGCTCGGTATGCTTTAAATTGACAGTCTTTATGGTGATAACCTAGGGAGGTAGTTGTAGCACAATGGAGGATGTTGAAGTATAAGATTTTTCCTATCTGTCTCTCTATTGTGCCGGTTGATTTTGTGAACTAGTGGATTTAGGACTGTTGATTCATGTGATATTGATGACTCTCCTTATGTTGTACTATGGACTCATGTATCGGAAAACGGTGCTCATGTGAGAAATGAAAAAGCAGTTGGTCCTCCATGTCAAAACTTTGAAATTTTAAGACAGGGTAAGCCCAATGTGTGTGGCACCGTTCATGGCACAAAAATCGGGTTTTGGAAGAGATTTTAGTGATCCTTAGTGGGGTAGGCCTACAAGGTGAAGCTAAGCCATCTCTAGTACAAGTAAAAATTTCACCCATTGAACGGTTTGCCTACTCGAGGATGTGTATTAAAGGGAACAGATAGAGCTTCCGACCCCCCTTAATTTCATTGACCCTTCACACGAAGTGGGGAATAGGAGTTGAAAGAAGTACTCTGGCGAGCGACAGATGTACATAAATTTCTCTTGCTCACCTAATAAGGGTAGACCGCGTATAAAAACTGCAGTTGAACCCAACAAAAAAAATCGAATAACAAAAAAAAGTGGTTCCAACAAGTGAGATGAAATGAAAGAGCACCCGATACAAGGAGTCCTTGGTTGTTTAATTGTGTGAGTGTCCTTATCCATGAATTGGTTGTCTTAGTTCCACTGCTTCTCATGATCCTGGCTTGAGTCTAGTACTAGCATTGAGAGAGATAGGGGACGTCTTAGAAGACCAGTTGAACTCATAAGTTGCTAAATGATCTAGAAAATCCAATGTCGACGATCGGGGTTGCTAGTTGCTGTAAAGGTCTGAAGAGCTGAATTGGCTTGAGTCAGGTTTGCTTGGGGACAAGCAAACGGTTAAGTGTGGGGGAATTTGATGACCCGATATTTACACATGCTTTTGCCCACCATTCTTATACAGTTTGAGCCTTATTTATGGTGTTTTAAATCGATTTCACGCTAGGGTGATCTTTTTTTTTTTTATATTTCAGGTCCTAGTACGTGAATGAAGGTTTGCGCACGAGTTCGGGGTTGAATGGACGAAGTTGGGACGTTTGATGAAAAGCTGAGGAAACCACACGGCCTGACCAGATTTCCACATAGTCGTGTGGCTTGGCCGTGTGGCACTCCTTTGCGTGGACAAGGCCACACGGGCCGTGCAAGGACCCTTTTGGCCGTGTTGGATTTCCAGAGACACCATACGAGCTGTCCAGATTTCCACACGGTCGCGCCATTCTGGTCGTGTAGTGCACCTTCCATCACTAAATCGAACGCCGAGTTTTGGGACTCACACGGGCAAGTGGGGATTTCACACGACTGTGTGGTCGTGGAATACTAGATTTTTAACCCAATTTCGGGTCTTTAAAAGGAATTTGAATTTTTAGAGCAAAAACAGAGTCTTAGAGAGAGAAAGTGCAAAGAACAAACCCATGGATTGATTTTGGAGTTAGGTTTCATCAAACAAGCTTGCATTTCGTCCTTGGAGTGAAGATTATCATCCCAGAGCAGATTCTTCCCATCATTATGAGTATTACTGCTTTGTATTCTGTTTACCCCTCTCTCTATGGAGTAGAACTCTCTCTCACTTGGGTATGAAGAACCCTAGTTCCATCTGTTTGGCATCATGTTTGTAATGACTTTTGGATTGAGATACTTATTGATTTTAATCGATTGAAGTGTCTTTATTGAGTCAATTGAATCCTGATCAACTTCTTTTGATTTCTGCTGCTACCTGAGATAGATAGAATCTGATTAGGTTGTTAGAACTTCTTCAATCGGTAGTAGTGAATTGATTATACGAGAGTTAGTCAATCTATTTCTTTGTATTGGAATCCAATTCCATTAGTGGAGTTTTGTGTTAACTGCCTTAGCTTTCTATCTCGGTGAAGACTAGTCGTCTGCCGCTTAGTCTGTCTAAGAGGGCTTGGTCAGCTTAAGAAATTCCAAGCTACTGTCGGATCTTCCGCAGTTTAATCAACAGTAAAGCAACCAGGACCTAACTAAGGAGCTAGGGGGACTCATTCCTGAGTGACTCTTCCCTTGCTTAAGAACTTCGGACAATTTACTACTTTCTGTTTGCTTTAGCTTTAAATCACATTCAATAAATCATTCCCACTAGATAATAGATAATCACAGAGTAAGCAGTAGATCTAGACCCCGGGTTGATAAAATAAACTTACCACTATTCTGCATTTCCATTCTACGATTATACTTGCAGTTTGGTGTTGTGTTGTAGCGTGTCAATGGGTATGCACACAATCTCATTAATGATAAGCATTGGTGTATCTTCTATTATGTAACCCTATCCTTTCAACTAAGGACATCATATTCGAGTTTTCACCACATGCAATAGGAATTATGATTAGCTATGCGTGTTTTCGCTTCATGTCACTAGACTAATCAATGAAACAAGGAAGTATGGATAATGTAGACACCACAGTTTGTCCGGAGCAATCATGCTAATTATAAAAAAAACTAATTGTAGCATCACAATGATATTTGGAAAGGAAGTTTGAAACAATTTGGTTAAGACTAGCAGTAGCAAGTCAATACGAACGAATGATTACCATTTTCCGCTCATATACAATCCAAGAATCATTTCGAATGGACACGAGGATGAGTACTACTTTGACGTTTTGAAGCTTAATACGCTTGAGGTTTGGGTTTGAATTTGAGCTTGGTTTACAACGCATAGAAAAGAAACAAATCAATAAATATGAAAAACATACTTTGCCATTATATTTCTTTCCTCGTACATTTCATCGAGAATTACATCAATAATAAAAGAAAGATAGTAATTAAATAGGTCATTACAATTTATACATATGCAATTACAAGACCACTCCTTTACAAACCGTGGACCTGCAATAAAAGAGAAAAAACCAGATTTGAAGCCCAATTCGAATACAACTCCAGGTCCAGATGCAAGACCCAAAATAGGTTAACTTAAGGTGATACGATAGAATAACAACACCCTATCTGTTGTTACTGTAACAACATAATTCATTAAGGGAAAAATTGGATATTTATAATAAAAATAAAAATTAGCCCTTCCCCTCCGCTCTGTTCTCCATCGATGGTGTCCTCCTCCAACTGCCATCTAATCCCTAATTCCAACTCTCCTCGGTGGAGAAATACTACTCCGGCGCCGACGAATCTCAACACCGCTCCCTACACCGACCGCAGCATCCCGCCGCCGACTCCCAATATCCCGTCGGCGACGACGATGACCGTCTTGTCACGGGAGTGGTTGTAGTAGAGGAAGGACCAGGCGTAGAGCGCGTAGGTGATGCATCTCACGGGGAGCATGAGCCGGGTGCCGGCGACATTGCACAGGCCACCACCGACCACGCAGAAGACTGCGAGGGGGGGCGTAGAGGGCGGTGTTGGTATTGTTGGCGGCGGTGGAGTCCACCTGTCCGCCGCCGCCCGACTTGCCTTCCTACATGATCGTTCGTAGTCCTCGGCCATGGATTACTCCCTCCATCCGATGGAACAGGAAACCGGATCGTACCGGCCGGTTCAACCGGTTCAACCGGGAACCGAAAGAACCGTCATTGGGTTCAACCGGGAACCGAAAGAACCGTCAACCGGATCGTACCGGCCGGTTCAACCGGTTCAACTGGGAAACCACATTTTTCTTTACTAAGATTCGCCGGTTGAGCCGAAAGAACCGTCACTGGCAGGGAAGTCGAAATCTTCAGAATCCAAATTCCGATCGTTGTTGCAGGAAAGACAAATACAAGAAAGAAAAGCCGTCAGCGGGTGAATGTGAAACAGAATTGGGGAAAAATGGAAGTCCACAGGAGACAGTGAGGTTAAATTGATTTGATAACCTTTCAACTATTAACCACAATGTTTGCTTTTGGTTTGGGAATTATGGAATGCAATTATGGTTATATGTATTATAGAGAATAATACCATAAACCTACTACTAATGCGGACCACAAATCTTCTAAATCATACTAGAAATTTCACAAAGCAAACCACAAATATTTTATAAGCACACCAGAAACATTGTTATCCAAACCACAAACACAATAATGCATACTACAAATCTCCTAAAATAAACCACAAACCTCACAAAGCAAACCACAACATTTGCAAAAGCACATCAGAAACCTCATAACGCAAACCATAAACACGATAAAGCAAACCATAAAAACAAACCAGAAACGTCCTAATGCAGACCAAAATTCTACTAAAACAAACCAGAAACCCCGCAAAACAAACCACAGAATTTTAAAAAACACACCAGAAACCTCCTGATCTAAACCACAAACACAGTAAATCAAACCACAAAAACAAACCAGAAACGTCCTAATGCAGACCAAAAATCTATTAAAACAAATCAGAAACCCCGCAAAGCAAACCACAAATATTTTGAAAGCAAACCAGAAACTTCTCAATGCAAACCACAAACACGATAAAGCAAACCACAAAAGGCATAAAAAAATATGAGAAACCACCACATAAATCTCACAATGCTAACCATAACATCCGGTGATCGTTGACCGTTGACCGGTCAACAAAGACCGTTGACCGAACTGTGACCGTCGGTGAGCATATTCCGACGCCGATAGGCATATTCCGGCCCTAATGACTAGATTCTGACGCCGGTAAGCATATTCCGACACCTGTAAGCATATTCCGGCGACAAATAGCATATTCCGGTGACAAAAAGCATATTCCGGTGACCGGAGCCCAGTTTCCGGCGACCGGTGGCAGAATTACGGCGACCAAATTTTTGGGCAGAAAATAAAAAAAATTTTTTTTTTTATTTTTTTATTTTTTAAACAGATTTTTCATAATGACAATTATGCCCCTGCTTTGATTTTACAATAGGTTAACTCATCTAATAAAAAGTCATCACAATCCTAGCTTCCTATTGGTTGAAGACTAGTGTTGTTACAATAACAACACAAGGGGTGTTGTTATACTAACCGGTCCCTAACTTAAGCCTACGTATGCTCAAAGCCACAGATTGATTTGGCCCAAACTACTCGGCCCAAAATCAAGGCCCCAACCCTATCCACAAGCAGAATTCTTGCAGAAGCAACCTCAAGGGCCAGGAATTATACAACGACACGTGGCAGCCGATTTTGCTATAAGAAGAGCTTCTCAGCTCTTGTATTGAGAGGGGGGGGGGGGGGTGGGGGCGATTCCAAGAAAAAACAGAAAAACATTCAAGAGAAACACTAGCATCCTGTTTCCATTTTTTACCCTTCTTTTACAGGAAGTTCATTCTAGAGATTCGAAGAAAGAAGCAAAAGGAGGCCATTCCTAGGCCAGAAGCTTCAACTAGGTTGGTGCTTATAAGTTTTTTTTTTGTCATAGATCGGGAAGGTAATAGATATTACAGGACACTAGACAACCAAACGCGACAGTCGACACTAAATCGAGCTGTCGATGAAAGGGCATAAGAAGCCACTAAGTGGGCAGCCCTGTTGTACAACCTTGGCGTAAACGTACAAACAAAGAAATTAAAAGACTCGGAAACCAAACAAATCTCGTCTAAGACCGCTCCACAAGTCCCATGCGCCACATCCCGGTCTTGAATCCTGCGAATCAAAGGTTGACAGTCTCCACAGAAATTGGCTACCTTAAACCCATGCAACAAACACCAATTAATCGCATCACGAAAAGCTAAAGCTTCAGATACAAATGGATCAGACACACCTGGATAAAATTGCCCGAATGCGAACAGAACCTGCCCCTCAGGGGTATAGCCTACATAGCCAGCGCCACCACCGATTCCCCGCTTGTACGCGCCATCAAACCTGACCAAAATCCCATCCGTTGGACATTCCCCTGCAGTTTGTAGCCGATTCAACCTCGGCACAGCCTGTGCAGCGTCAACCGAATCCCCACCAAGTCCCCTGCACAGTGTCAAAGGCGCTGTAGCAAGCCTCCACTCCTCAGACTGAGCCCTGAATTGTCTGAGAAGGGCAGGCCCTAAGTACTGAACGTGCTTATGGACCGCCCAACACCGGGATTTCCAAACTCGCCAACACAGAAATACAACATCAGCCATAACGGGTTTAGATAAGTTGCAGGAAAAGAATAGAGCAACCAACACTCCGAAAAGGATAAACTAACCAATCTCCGGCGCAGATTCCCCAAACCAGCTAGCTCCCACAAATCAGTTGCGACCCGACATTGGAGAAAGGTGTGGGTCAAAGTTTCCGCCCCTGCCGAACAAATCGGGCATGTGGCATCCGTAACCAGACGCTTCACTTGTAGTACCGCACATACTGGAAGGAAGCCCCGAACTAGCCGCCACCAGAAAAATTTAAGCTTGGGTGGTACCTGCAAGCGCCAAAGCTTGGTGCTTATAAGTTACCCAACTACTTTCTTAATAAGATCTTATTTCATTTTGTCAAGCTTCTATACATAATATTATAGCAATTCAAAAGTAATTTGTTGCCACATAAGCATTTGGAGAATTTACAAGGTGCCATGGTGGACAATTTTTTTACAAACAAAAAAGTTAGTTAATGATCAATTAATGTAGAGCTATCTATCTTTTTTAATATTTTCTTTTTATATTAATGATCATTTATGTAGCTATCTCTATCTTCTTTTAATGTTTTCTTTTTTTTTATTCAATAATTGTATTTTCCAACATATATGTGTAGCAGTAGTATACTTATGTTTGGAGAGTGACATATATTGTAATGCTTCAAAAAATATATTTGATTAAATCTGATCAATTAATTTTTCTTTTCCTTTTTATTAGAACTTAATATATGTTATATTTCGATAAAAAATAAATTAAACACACAGATAAGTAATAAAAAAATTTAAAAAATATAATGAAGGAAGTTTAGATAATCAACATTTAATAATCTATTGAATTTTAAAAAACCAACTATATAATTTTATGTTTTGGTTATCAAACGCTATCTTTTTCTAATGTTTGTATCTATCAACGAAAACAAGTATTAAATAGCAAAATGCTTCAAAAGTTGGTTTTTCATTTTGATAGAAACTTGATGAGGCCATAATATAGTACCTGATTGTACAAATGAAGACGATAAAGAAAGACAATGTTTCTTCTCTCTTATAATGCATGCTTCCATACCTTATTTTCTCTTACATTTGTTCATACTTCCCCTTATTTTTCTTAACAGTTTACATATTTCGGTCAAACAAAGGTGTTAATTACACTTAAAAAATAAAAATACATTAAACTCTATATATATAAAAAAAGTTTAATTATAAACAAAAATCAATGGTCATGATTTGTTAAAATCTATGCAACAAATTACACGCACAATCTTAGGGGTTAAGCTCTATGATTAAGATAACTAAGACCTAGGCTTCACTCATCAAGGGTTAGGGTATAGTATCATGCCCACAAATCCGGTTAATTCGTGGTCCAGATAGCATTTTCTTACTTAGAGTATAATATCATACTTAGATATTGACAATAGATGTGGCATTACACCAACAAAATGAAGATATTAGTATAAGTAGTGGATTTTTTTATCTCAAAACAAACACCAAAGATAAATAAATTTTAGCAAATGCATATTTGATAAGTTAGAAAATTATACAACAATGGACCATGTTAAGATTAGAACCCTCGAAGGTGTGTGAGTATCTTGGACCGAGATTCTAAACCAACATTTAAACAACGACCATGAGTTGAGGGTGAGTCTATATTAAACTTCAGGAATTAACAATTGGTACATATTGTATACGATATTAAATTGAGTGTCTTGATAGACAAATATGATCTTACACTAAGACAGTAAAATTTCAATTGGGATGACCAAATCTATGTAATATTGAGAGTCTTGGTACATGTTAAGTTGTCGTCATCTGAGCAACATCATTGGTTGAGAGTTCCTCCAAACTCGACATTCATTGAATGACATATATTGTATAAGACAAAAAAAATATTGAGTATCGTTATTGACAAATCTTGACATAAGATTCTATATGGGACGTGATATATCTTTGTGACATGATTTATGATCAGTGAATCGAAGCATTATAAGTGAATGTGTTAAGTATTGAGAATTTTTAATTTATAGATGCACCGCATACTCACCAAGGAATGAAAATGTAAAAAATTTAAAAGATCCAAAATAGTATGAACATATAGATAAATTGATTAATATAAATGGTAAAATTAAACTCACCGGCCAACAGGCCGGGTAAAAAGCTAGTATAGTCAACCACCATAATGTCATAATCATCTATCTACCTACTTATTTACATTCAAGCGTTTTACTTTACAAGCTTCTTTACATTCAAGCACTCCATTTACCAAGATCCGCTCGTATAAGCTTCATTAAGATCCTACCATGAAAGTTTCATTTTCCTCTCATATTATTAGCTTTGTCTATGCTATTACTACTATGCTGATTAACTTAACTATGAGTGTAGTTGGATGTTTTGTTGTATTTTTCTACCATGCTTAGATTTCCCTCATCCATAGTCATACATATATACATAAGCAA